CTTGTAAGTAAGTGTCTCTGGTATATAACATAAAAGCTAAATTATTAATTGCAATTAATGCATGCAGTGCATTTTTACAGGCTTAAGGTCATAACTATGTTACCATATCAAATTTACCACAAATTAATGTTATTTATTTATGTTTATTGTATTTTTGTATTGCATGGATCACACTGACCCCAACATTAATAAATGCAATTAATGCGTCGTCCTACAATTTGTCTATTTGAATATATATATATATATATATATATATATAATATTGATGTATATAGGTTTATCACAGCACGGACATTATAGTAATTTTTATTATGTTACTGTAGCAAGTTGACCCCAAAATTATTTATTTGAATAAATCCAATTAATTGCCCACTACTGGCGGAACTCGTGTATGGAAGGCGGATGGGTGCAAAAGTCTTTAAATGGGACGCGTGAAATTTGTCAACACGCAGCAATTTTGAACATGTTTCCTTTATATGTGTAGACAATTACATTCTGGCTGTGTTTAGGTGTTAGTTTTAGCCACATTTATTATAAGTATATAGACGCACAGATATATCACGTTAAGATGACGAATTTGAACGTGCCTCTCAATGCACATATTCTGGCCGTGTTTGATCGTGTAATACTTTTAAAATCAGTTTTACCTTTACATTTATCCACATATTAATGTTTTATTTTGTTCTTTGCGCTATTGCTTTACTGATATCTACTGTGTTAGAGTAAATTAATTAATGTTACAATGTAAATTAAGACTTTTCTACCTACATTCTAAAAAATGTTGTTTCAACCCAACTTTGGGTCAAATATGGACTAACCCAACTTTTGGGTTAAAAATGTAATGTAAAACATTTTCCCAACAGCTGGGTTAGTCCATATTTGACCCAAAGTTGGGTTGAAACAACCCAGCATTTTTTAGAGTGTAAGAAATAATGTTAAACAACTAAAAAGGAAAAGACAAATCATGATATAAAACTGATTATATATAATATTGATGTATATAGGTTTATCACAGCACGGACATTATAGTAATTTTTATTATGTTACTGTAGCAAGTTGACCCCAAAATTATTTATTTGAATAAATCCAATTAATTTTCATATGCTAAGATAATGCTAACTGCTACCATGTGTCCATTAGAATTTGTTTTATTGTATTTTTAAAGATGTTATTGGCTTAAATTGACCCCAAAATGCTAACTTGCTATCCTTTTGGATTTGTTTTATTGTATTTGCTTAAATGCTCTTTAAAATGACTCAAAAGTGAATACAATTTATTTAATTCGATTTAAAAAAAAAAAAAACTTGTATGAATTACACTGGCCTCAAAATTACACTTATCTCCGTATCCATTTGGATTTGTTTTATTGTATTTTCCAACATGTATATTTTGACCCCAAATTTAGTTATCATGCTAGATATCAAGCAGCCTGAAAAATAAACAAAATAAAAATAATAAAAAATCAGAGAGTTAAAGATTAATAAAAAAATTAAATATATCTTTTGACTAAGCTTAGTCAGTAAAACCTTTAAAAATAATTTAAGAGGAATATAATAAAGTCATTTTGAAACTACATAGAGTTCTCTGGGACTCCTACAAAGCAAATTTTGACAAGAACATGAGCATGAACATGCAACCTAACATGCCCCAAATGTCCCAAACCTCAGTTTTCATGTCATGAACATAAACCAATAAAAATGCATTGTCCTTGTCAAATCTGACCATTTTACAAATTCTGATGTTTAACATTCTGCAGAAATCCATAATAACACAGTTACCATCTCAGCTCACCTGTATACTGTGGAAAGCTCCACTTCCTCCTGAGGTCTTGACTACTGTGAGAGTGTGTCTTTAGTCCAGGTTTATTTCATCCCTCTATTTAATTCTATTTAAAAAAAAAAAAAAACTTGTATGAATTACACTGGCCTCAAAATTACACTTATCTCCGTATCCATTTGGATTTGTTTTATTGTATTTTCCAACATGTATATTTTGACCCCAAATTTAGTTATCATGCTAGATATCAAGCAGCCTGAAAAATAAACAAAATAAAAATAATAAAAAATCAGAGAGTTAAAGATTAATAAAAAAATTAAATATATCTTTTGACTAAGCTTAGTCAGTAAAACCTTTAAAAATAATTTAAGAGGAATATAATAAAGTCATTTTGAAACTACATAGAGTTCTCTGGGACTCCTACAAAGCAAATTTTGACAAGAACATGAGCATGAACATGCAACCTAACATGCCCCAAATGTCCCAAACCTCAGTTTTCATGTCATGAACATAAACCAATAAAAATGCATTGTCCTTGTCAAATCTGACCATTTTACAAATTCTGATGTTTAACATTCTGCAGAAATCCATAATAACACAGTTACCATCTCAGCTCACCTGTATACTGTGGAAAGCTCCACTTCCTCCTGAGGTCTTGACTACTGTGAGAGTGTGTCTTTAATCCAGGTTTATTTCATCCCTCTACCCCTCCCTGCCTCCCAGAGCATTCATAAATCTGACCGCCCAACCATTCTTTGAAACACATTTATTAGCCCATAAACACTGGCCTTCAAACTATGATAAAATACCGCTGAGCCCAACCTTTGGAGTCATTGCCCAAGGGAAGTCCAATTACATCACAGTATAAAACGCTGGGAGTAATCGTGGCCATATTCTGTCTCGACTTTGAAGTAGGCTATAAACAACGGACCTCAGAGAGCTTTCAGACGTCGGTAATTGACTTCAGATCCTAATTTTTAGTCGACAACATGGTACAAGACGCTACAATGGTGTCAAATTGATCATTCTGATGGATAACCGAGTCCAAACGGTCTTAAATAAAATTTTACCTGACGTACTGAAGAGAGCCATCTTTTTATGGCAGGTGATGTATGACCTTTTTAAAAGAACCAGAAGAAGATAGATTGACTGAGGCTTGGCATCTCTGTGCAGATGCTTCAAAAAACAAAAACGAATCCACACACAGATGCCTGTGTCAGACAAAGACTTTATTAATTTCGAAGCACAAAGAGAGGCCATAAACAGCAGCTGCACAGATATGAGACGAATATGTATTAAATTCCTCTCTAATAGCGAAGCATCTGTAGTGTTAGACTGTGTTCTTGAATACATGTGATTAATATTCTGTGAAACGCTTCTCTCTTTATAAACTGACCTACATTTCTACAGCTCTCATAGGTTTATCACAGCAAGTGATGTGTGGAACAACACACACACTCACATACGTACGAAGACGCACACAAATGCAAAGGTTGGTCTCTTTAGAGGCTGACATTTTGGTCCCATTGAACAGTGTTTATAAATATGAGTGATATTAAAGAGTTAGTTCGCCCAAGAATCAATAGGCTGTCATTGTTTACTCAACCTCATGTGATTTGAAAGCCAAGTTCACCATAGCTCTGAAGTGTCAGATCGAAATTTAAGTCGCTTGCTGAAAACCTTCCCATCTATCTCATTCACACTGGCTTACATTAAAATATGGCGCAGAGTTGATCACGCAAAATGTGCACACTAACGTAGAAGAACGCCGAAAGAGATTTGAGAGCTACATTGGAGATTTTCAGCAAATAATGATTTAAATTTCAGTCTGTTCCTTGCGTATATATCATCATATGAAATACAAGTCATATGAAATACTTTTATATTAGTTTTATGGTGCTTTTTGTTTGCACCAAAGTCCCACCCTTACGAAAATTAACCACGGTTTTACTACAAAAAAACAAAACAAACAAAAAACATGGTTACCACAAATTAACCATGGTTTTGCTACAAAAACCATAGTGTAACCATGGTATTTGTAGTAAAACTGTGTTATACAAATGCTACTCAATATGCCCCCAAAAAACTTGATTTACATGTTTTTCTAGATGCATATTTTGCACTGTTTAGTTTGTCCACTAGGTGGCAACACTGTCCTGGCTTGTTGTTTCACCGTCAAATAAGAAACTACTTTCAAAAGACAACAGTTTTTTTTTTTGCTCGTAACTTTTAGATAGACATAGTCAAGTTTATTTTTAGTTTACATAGCACAGACACTAAACAAGAATGAAACTTCCCTTGTGCGCATGTGTTTACTAACTGCGTTCGCAAACAAATAAAGTTCAGTCTGCACATGCGCTAGTATACTTTATGCTTTACCTTACTGTATGGAAAACAGCTGCTTGGACATTCAGCAAAATATCTCCTTTTGTGCTCCACATAACAACGACAACCATCTTGTTTGTTAAGTTTTAATGACATGAGGGTGAGTAGACTATAATAAAATATTTACATTTCTGGGTGAACTATTCCTTTAAGAAAGTGAATACGTAGGCTACAGAAGACGTGTGATAGTAAAGATAAAGGACACAGGTTTGTGGCACTATGGTGACGTGAACTGCTTCTGCGGTCTCGCTGACGTTTAGACTGTGGGTCCGAATGGGGGCTTTGAGCCCGGCAGTGTTGCAGCTGATCAGAGGACAGTGTGGTACAGTGGTGGCACTGTGTTGTTTTTGTGCTTGGTCTGGGTAAAATGATCGAAAGATTGTCGGGAGGAGGAGCCCTGAATGTGGGCGTACATGCACACACACACACACTCATTCATACAAGCTCTACAGGATCTATTCATACACACATGCATACACTGTATATTCAAATATATATTCTGCATCACATATGAATCAATACTTACTTATATTAAATACTTGAAATATGTGTGCAAATAATCTATACAATCTACAAGAGAAAAAAAACAGCAGGTGCGACACAAATAACAATAGCAAGTGGTCTCACCAACAATAACAGTAATTGTTTTTCACTGTTGGACGTTAAAACAAAATTGTTTTAAAGAGATAGTTCATCCAAAAATTAAAACTATGTTTTTTTTTTTCTTAGGTTTTGTCATTATATAATAAGGGCTATAATAATACTTAATATTATCTCTTTTTGTGTTCAACATAAAAATAACCTTACAGGTTTGGAACGAAATGAGATTATTAACTTTTGGGTGAACTGTTCCTTTAAATCGCACGCACAAGTTTGACTGGGAGGGAGCCAAAAATGTTAAGAATGAACTGCAGAAAGTGGCTAGTTTTGCTAAAACAACTCACTCAAGACGGACTGTTGCAAAAGGGCACGGACGAAAAGACGGATACGGTTACTGTTCACGTGACAGGACTAGAGGTCTACGTACAAGACACTGGCCCATTAAAAATCCAAGTCATAGTTGCCTCCCCCCACAAATCTCTGTCTTCTCTATATCCTCTCATAGCCATGGTCTGGAATCAGCTTCATCATCATCAGCATCCGCAGCATCAGTGAAGTCGTTCCGCCACAGCTATGTGTTTAACAGCACTGAGAAGAAATAAAGCCGATATTACATAATACAGCAAGCTCTCTGCATTTTTGGTCATTTCTGATTCCATAATCACACTTTCATAAGGACAGTCTCTGTACCTGGATTGTTTCAGTCCTCTGCTTTAGGGGTCTCCTTGGCTTTATGTCGAAGAATAATAAAAGAACAGTTAGAATTTTTCTTAAAGATGACCAACGTGTATTACAAGAGATAGTACTGAATCTCACCCTTGGAGATGATGAGGTTCTCTGCTTGAGCTTCTTCATCTCCCGGAGCCCTGAGAAAATATATAGTACAAAGAAAATTATAACTGATGGTTATAAACACATGCAACACATGACAGCAAATAATAGAGGCTGTATAGGACTAACCTGGGCTTCTGGTTGATACTGCAGCGGCATCTGCGGCCTGCAGGGTGCACACAAGCAAAACGATTTAGATCAAACAGATGAATGTCAAACCATATAAACGACCTGTCGGGTTTTATTTTGTGATAATGACTGGGATAATAAGGGATAATAATCCCTTACATATGTTATTTCTGTAACCCGAATGAAATGTTGATAGCAAGCATGTCTTCATTTATATCTCTGCCACTGAGTGTGACATATATTCATGCATCTCTATTTCATAATAAAACTTCATCTAATGCTCAGTTGAATAAAAGCACTGCTGTATAATTATATATTGTGCGGCAGCTCAGTTTAGCTATTGTGCTCTGATCTCTTTTGTTTTACACTAATTTCGGCACGATTTAGCTTCTGAATGAAGAATGATGAATTAAAAATAATTAATTAAAAACATGTTTCTTACTGAGAATAAGGAGCACTCCCAGAGCAAACAGCACCACAGCAAACGCCAGACCCCCGATCCTCAAACTCTCATAGTCTGGTTGAGAAATAAAGAATTTTAATTTTTTGAGTTTTTTTTAAGAAAGACTCAAGCTTCTCATGGTTCCCTGAGAAGGGAACGAGACACTGCGTCCTCTATTTCCCTTGCCATCCTTCGGACGTAAGCTTCAGACGAAGAAGCAGATGATGTGTTCTCCCCGTGCCCTTTTCTACTTTGGTCGCACCGGGTGATGACGTCACAGGCTGTCGCTGGCCAATGTTATAGTCGTGTTTAGATGTATGCTTCAGACACCGGTCACGCTGAAGGCATCCCCCAGTGTCTCGTTCCCTTCTTAGGGAACCATGGTTAATTTTTTGAGTTTTTTTTTAAGAAAGACTCAAGCTTATGTGGAAAATGCACACACACACACACACACACACACGCACACACAATTTCAGTTTGCAAACCAGTTTACTTGTATAGTGCAACATTCTCAGATGAAACAGGATATTTAAAGATAAAAAAATAAATATAGGATGGGACTTTAAATGGTATTTTATCAGGGATAATTATTTACTGCATTTTAATTAAAAGTTATGAAGAAATGTATTTTTCTTTGAAAAAAAAAAACTAAAATTATTCAAAAACCTGGAATATTCTATGTAGACAGAAATGGCAAGTAACACATTGAATTAAACATGACATTTTGAAGTAGGAAGACTGAAATAGTATCTTCTTATACAAACTATACTCCAATCATTTTTATTTTATTTAAAACAATACTTTTTTTTTTTACAGTATAGATATTTGTCAGCATAGATTTGCAATTTTAGTTTGGGATCTGCCTGAGGATTATAAAAGCCACCCTTCCGAGGGAACTTCGAACTGCATCCTCTAGAGGTCGCTATGGGGAATGCCTTTAGCGTGACCGGTGTCTGAAGCATACATCTAAACAGGACAATAACATTTGCCAGCGACAGCCTGTGACGTCATCACCCAGCGCGACCACAGTATAAAAGGGCGCTGGGAGAACACATCATCCTCTTCTTCGTCTTCAAGGACAGTTTTGTTTGAAGCATGCATTTCCAGTAAGAACAATTATTCTTCTTTACCATGGCGAGCGCTAGTAAGGCGTTTAAGAAGTGTGTGGATCCGTGTCCTCGTTATTTGACACCTGATGACACAAACGATCTTTGCGTCTTGTGTTTGGGCTAAGAGCACGTGTGCAATGTCCTCGAGGGGGCAGTTTGCATGCACTGTGAGCGTTTTCCTATGAAAAAGCACCGCTCTCATTTGTCTCTCTTTTCGAGGAAGGAGGGACAGCACCAGCTCCCTGTGGTTCAGGACCCTCCGCTGCTGAGGCACGGAGGAAAATGAGCTCGTGGTGATCGCAGATGGACCTGGCTGATGATTTGAAAAAGGGTCTTTGCCTTTCTCGCTCATCAGTGAGTGACGAGAGTGAGCTGCTGGACGATGATGCCATCTCTCTTACATCATCTGATCCAGCGGCTAGTGCTCTGCTGGCTCAAAGCCAGGATGAGCAGGAGATGTCAGATGAGGATGAAGAAG